GGAGACCACAGAGAGCGCTCCAATTATCGGCGCATTTCGTTAATGAGCCTAACAGGAAAGTCTACGCAATGGCGCTAGAACGGAGGTGCCGCGGAATAACTGACTGCAAGATAGAAGAAGAGTAGTCTGGCTGCCGGCCTGGTCTAAGTAACGTTGAGCATATATTTGACTTGCGCCAGATTGTTGAGAGAAATCGTAAGAGTTCGCCCATCCGGCGTCCATACAGTTTGTTGATCTAGAGAAAGCGCATCATCGGATCCCGAGCAACAATCTTTTGGGCATGCCTACAAACAAATGGGATCGGTGGTGACGCAATCACTGTATTCTTAGAGCAAGTGCTGCGTCAGGGTAAATGGCGTTAAGTCGAAACCATTCAACGTTCGCACTGGTCTCGGCTATGGCTGCATCCTGTCCCCTTTCCTTTTAGCGTTGTACATAGAATAGTCACGAGCAGCCAAGGCGACGAGTATATAGGTGTAAAAGATGCGAAGACGAGAAGATTGTTACTTGCAGACGACCATGTTTTATTGTCATCTTCTGAAACTGATCTACAGTGCTCCCTAGAAAAGTTCATAGTCGAGTGCGACGTGACCGACATGCGTGTTAACGCATCTAAAACGAAAAGCCTAGTGCTTTCTCGCTGTCCTGCCCGTTGCTCTCTTCACAGGTGGGGAGAGGAAGAGACAGTGGAGCAGATGGGCAAGTTCAAGTACCTCGGAATCGTATGTCCGAGTGATGGAAAATTTGAGGAAGAGATCGACCGGCGGATTGGAGTAGCCTGTGGCGTTCTGCGTGAACTAGCCTGACCCATTGTGACTAAACCAGAGCTCAGTCTGAAAACTAAGCTTTCGGTGTTCAAGTGGATCTTTATCCCAATGCGTCAATCTACGGTCATGAATCGTGGACCACCACTGAAAAACTTCGAACCCGGGTACAAGCTGCCGAAATGGACTTCCTTAGATGAGTCGCTGGCCTTACGCGTCTCGAGATGGTCCGGAATACAGACATCCGCGAGAGCCTTGGTATATAGCCGCTGCTTCTTCAGACTGAGAAGTCACAGCTACGATGGCTGGGGCATGTGTTGCGAAAGCCTCCAGAAAGGAAGGCCAAGCAACTCTTTCTTGCGAAACTGACCGGCAGAAGGCCCAGGGGACGGCCAAGATTAACTGTTGCAAATATATGGAAGGAGTCTGTTACAGACCCGTGGTCTTCTGCCGAAGCTCAGAGTCTGGTTCTGGATCGGGAACGTTGGAAGCACTGACTGACCCGTCTGCACGTGCGACCCGAAAGGAGAAGCGGAAATGGAAGATGATGATGAGTTGCGAGCAGAAAAGACAAGAGTAACCTGGTTTGGTCATGTTCATGTCAGAACCGGAAAGACCTAATGATACTGTGTTAGATGGGTGCTTTTTGGTTGTCATTCCCTCTGACTTAAGTTAGAACTAAAGATGGCATAGAGTATGATGCGCTAAGTTAAAATATTCGACATTTTTCATTTATTATTTAAATAGTACATCATCAAATAATGCGCGAATAAAGTTAAACTTGGGGGCCAGCCCCATAACGACCTTGCATATCAAAACAGGGAAAAGTTTTCCGAAGTGGTCAGAAATTACAGGAGAATGTACACATAGCAAGATGGCCAGATATCAGGATGCCTAAACGATTAGGTCAATTTTAGCTCGGCGTGAAACTTGTTTACAAGTATATGTTACAAATTAAATTTTGTGCTTCAATTTAAGTTATCAATATCTACTCACTTACCGAAACTCAAGCACTACTGGATCCTGTCCAAAGCCTACGGTGAAGGTGGCAACGACTACAGCTCGTCATGAAAAGAGGGCAACTACACAAACCTTGACTATGTCACCTCCTACAGATGCAAGATCGTTGCGGATACTTCATTCGACGTATTCTATCATTTTTTAGAATTATTACGCCTTCAAAATTTTCAAAAAAGCTGGATTTATACGATTACAAACTTACCGTTAACTTTTCAATAGGTTTATAATGCAAAATTCTAACCTTAACGATATCATGAACCAGCGAGAATATCATCATCTTGTCCAGCTGAATACCACTATTTTCCAAAATGTCCTATAAATTAAAGAATACGCTAGTGAAAAATTAAAATTATGAAAGAATTCGAACCTGAAGGCTTCCCTTTGGGCAATATTCGGTCACAACGCAATAGTGAGGATATTCAATGCATGCACCGACGAAGCGAGTAATGTGATCGAACTGTAGGTCTTTCGCCTGCAAAATAATTCTCCAAGCATACCCAACACCTAATTAACATAATGACTTTTTAAACGTGGCGTTTACTTTACTTTTTTAAGTTCAATCAGCAATTTCCTGTTCATGTCAATTTTGTTCTTGGAAATGTTCAGCATTTTTACAGCTACCATCGTGCCCTAAAAAATTAACTGACTTTTCGGAAACGGCACGTCGGTACAGAACAAACTCGATATATAGCAGTTTTGGTGAACACGTGTTTCATTTCATCTGGCTGAATGCTTTCGATTGATATAATGCTCTAAAATGAGAAAGTTAATTGACACAGAAAATGATAGTCTTCGTTTCATCGCCTTTAAGACAGAAATGGACAATCATGAAACGTTGAAACGATTCAACACTGCGTCCTAAATGGACTTTAAGAAATTTTAACTATCGATAAACGGTTTTAATGTCCACGGTGAAGATAGTGGCGATTAACTAGATATAAGATAAGTTAACAGTACTCCATTGGCAGAACTTTGCAAAGACTGCGAAGACGCGTTCCGTAGTAGCTTCTGATCTCGCAACCAGGTAAAGTGACTGTCCCGCCGCTTACGATGCTGAACACCTTTATCTTCGCCACAGATTTCACTCCAGCATATCAGCCATGTCATTGCATTCAATTCAGCCTCCATTTTGAAATGCCTAAAAATGCGAATACTGTTACCTTTACGAACTTTTACTAACGTAGAAGAAGTTTATTATCTCCCAGAACTAAATTTTGACTCCTGGAGTAAAATACATGAGCTAAATGAGAGTACTTTAATCGGTGCTCGATAGCCGTCAATTACTGGTGACAGACTTGACATATGTTGTAAAAGGAAACATTGGACTCAATATCTTATCTGTAAACAAATTGACCAAAAATGCTGCGCAGGACTATGCCATACGTTTAGCGCCAGTGGCAGGTTAGTTTGGCGATTAAACTGTTCACTGCAAAGAGCGGTTGCAGTCTTCTTACCTCACGAATTACAAACAGTAGTTGCAAT